CCCCCCCCCCCCCCCCGAGCCATTTAACGATTTGGGCTAACATCAGCACTCTCAGGTACCAGGACCAACACCCAGAGACATCCTGCAACTTCTCGGCTTCCCTGCACTGAATGACACAACAGCTTCTGGGCAAACCTACAAGGACTTAGAGGGCACCAAATGCTCTTAAAATGGGGCCAGCCTCCTGCAGAACTAGGAGAGAGCTGTGCCCTTTCTCTTCCAGCCCTGACTCCTTTGCCCATATGTCCATAATACCAGTTGGGGCCTTCAGGATTACCTTAGAAATAATAGTGGGCATGAGTGTAGAGAAACTTATTTTCATTTACTATTCTTTAAATGCTAATATCTATTATTTCTCTGAAAGTGAAGAAGATATTTGATAGCAACATATGTGAACAATTTTCAAATTATACTTTAAAAATTATTTTTAAAAATAAAAATTGAGGACACCTGGGTGACTCAGTCAGTTAAGCATCTGCTTCTTGATTGTGGCTCAGGTCATGATCTCACGGTTGTGAGTTCTAGTCCCACACATCAGGCTCTGCGCTGACTCTCTCTCTCTCTCTCTGCCCTTCCCCTGCTCGCTCACTATCTCAAAAATAAACATTTAAAAAATAATAATAAAATAAAAATAAAAATTTGAACCCCCTAAATTGCAGTACTCTGTACAAAAGCCCCAGTCACATTATTCCAGTTCATTGTTAATGGCATCCAAACGGTGTTCACCAGAACCTATAGACATTGGTTCACCAGAACATTGTGCAGAGCTTTATTCAAAAACATTTTGAAAATCTAAAAGACCTATAAATTTGCATTTGTCCCAAATAATTATTTGTTTAGCAATTTAGTGAGCATAGTCACCACAGAATAAACACCATGAACTGAAGTGCAAAGAAAGACCAGTCTAGTCCCTAAGAGGAACTCCAGAGTCCAAGGAATTGAGTCAGACCTCTTGTCAATGGGGTGCCAAGAAGAACTGTTTTATAGTTGGGGAGAAAAAATACTCAGAGTAAAAGTACTTAATCCAAAAGTCAGGAGACAATTCTCTTTCCAGCTCTGCCCCAACTTACTCTGCAATCTGGCACAAATCACTAAAAACCTCCAAGATCGGTATTTTTGGGGAAAACACATATTAATACTACCCTGACTACACCACTCGGCTAGTGATATCCAAGGTAAGTAAAAGTATTCCATTAATAATATCTAACATCCTAACCTCTCTGCTAGTTTTCTTCCATTTTTTATTTTCATCTCATCAGTGTCCTTTCAAGGGGCACCTCAAATTTTTAGTGGCCAAATCTCTAGATGTTTATAGCAGCTGAATCAACTCTTTCGGATGTTTATTTTCACCTACTTGATCTTTTACTCACATATTTTCAAGATTTTTTTAACTTTGATATCTTCAACAGATAACCATGTGAACCTCCACCTGTGTATGTCTGTACCTTTCCATCAGTGACTTGTATCTTTTTGTTTAGTAAAGAATCCAGCCTTGTCTAAAGGGAAGTCTGGCCTTTGTCCTCAATTTCTCGCATACCTGATGAAAACGTCCTTGTGTATGGTGGGTGCTGGCCACATCAGACAGTCCCAGAGGCAGGGCTGGCCACTCTAGAAACACCAACAGTATGACTTAGGGTGAGGGTTCTGGGTCAAACAGTTTCACGGAGACTGACTTCAGTCATGTGGACAATCAATTAATCATGCCATAACAAAGCCTTAATAAAAACTCTGGACACCAAAGC